AAGTAATACCCCTACAGTTTAGCTGACACAGGAGTCATATAGCACCGTTCTACTGTGCAGGATCTAGATAAGCCAGTGGCATTTTGGAAACAAGCGCAGTGAACTGATTAAGTAAAATGGCCACAATCACTAAAGGTATGTTTGGAGAAAAAAAAAACAGCATTTGATGAAAGGAACACCTTGCCAACTGCCACCATGGGGGTGGTATTATGCTTTGAGGTTGTGAGGCAGCCAGTGGTCCAGTGGTCAGAATTTGCCTATACTTAACAGAATCCATGAAATCCATGCTTCCATTTCCCTGTGTGATCCATTACATTACATGGGGAGATGAAAGCATGGATTCCATTTAATATCAGCAAATTTTGACATCACAAAAAAACTGGGTCTGAACCTGACGCCCACGTCCTGACGCTGTATAAAAACAAGTCAGCATGTGCAGACTGTCTATATACTTCAATATGACTTGCTTGAGTTGAGAACATAAAGGCAGAAGAGGAAATGAGCGAGAAAGAGCGAGAGAGATAAAGAGAAAGAGAAAGAGAGAGAAACAGAGTGAAAGCTCATGATACGTGTCATTAGCGAGTGGCTGGCTCAGTTTACTGATTCTATCTGTGCCTGGACCATGACCTACACTCACTCACTCACTCACTCATACGCCACTCTCTGGAATGAGGAGTAGCCATGGAAACCAAACTCTCTCCTCTGTATACCGTCCCTCCGTCACCATGTAAACTACCACGTTTACGCTAAAGTAACCCCCACCAGCGGAGACAGCTGCAATTTCCAAAAAACGTGTGGTCTCCTTTTTTTGGAGCCATTTATCATGTTGATCTATGTTGCCACTTTAATGCCCATTTTACTATTTCCTCTTCCTTGTCTTTGACATTAAAGGAGATATAGTGATTCTACTGATGTGTGCGAAGGTCAGACAGACACACAGCCACCACACTGAATCTCACATACACACTCACACAGACAGAAATAGCTCGCACCTGAGGAGAGGGTCGCTCAGGCTTTAAAGAGAGAGTTTGAGTGTTTGTTGTGCGGTTGCTTCATAAAAAGGATTACTCCGTAATTGGCTGTAATAGGCTGTAATTGTCGTGGTGCTGACTGCATTAGCTCAGACATGTGGAGCATGCTTATTTTCAGAGGCACAGTCACAGAGGATGGTGTATATATAGAAAGCCACGTATGTATATATGGAATGGTATCTAAAAGTAGCATATGAACACTCATTCAAATGAGGACACATCCCTGCCTTAGTCGTTGGCTTATACAGCACTGCTGTAAATTACAGCCTGTGTGTATACCACCTGTCGCTGCGGAGCATTTTCACCAGGCTGTGATCTTGCCACTCTCATTGTAAAGGTATTTGCAGTGACGCCAGCGGCTGTGAATAGCCTGAAGCTGTGTTTGCTCAACAGGATGTCAGCTAATTGATAACTGAAAGGGAAAACAGCAAAGCCTATTTAATGCCCCCTACAGCAGCAGTGAAGTAAGTACAACCACACAGTATAGTACTTAAACGGTGTCCGGTTCCGGTTCTGAAAGGCTGGGGCTTTGCACTGCTTGTGATCATCCTGCTCGAAGTAATGTTTTCAATTTTGGTTCAAACTCAAACACAGCCTGAGTGTGACCTGAACCAACCCACCGCAAGAAGTTTAAGACTCAAGCCTGACTTTAGCGAGGAAAAAAACCTTTTTGGCAGCTCAAAAAATTCTGTCCCAATTAAAACGTTTTCAATCCCGACTGCAGCCCGACACGTTTTGTCAAACCTGTCTGTAACTTGATTTAATTCTTCTTGTTTCCGACTGTAGTCTGAAAAATTATGCATGAGCCTAATTGAAGTTTGCAAAAAATTCAGTCTGTGCACAGCTGTAACTCAACAACATTCTATCTGCACTTCACAGTAAGCCGATAAAATTTGTCTGAACCCGACTGAAGCTTGACAAAATTCTGTCCAAACCTGACAGCATCCTGACAAAAATCTACCCCAACCTGGCTGGAGTCTGACAAAATTCTGGATGAACCCAACAGTAGCCCATCAAAATAATGTCCCAGCCCAACTGTCATCCGACAAATTTCTGTCTAAATCCAACTGGACAGAACTAACAAAACAATACTGTCCAAATCAGTCCGTAACGCATCAAAATTCTGTCCCAACCAGGTGCATCGCCTGGCCGGGGCTTCCAAGGCTGTAGCCCTGAACATTTTTTAAACGTTAACAGGGGCAGGCAGAGAGAGAGAGAGAGAGAGAGAGAGAGAGAGAGAGAGAGAGAGAGAGAGAGAATGGATAGGAGAAAATGCATGAGAGTGTGAAATTTCTGTAAAAAAGGCAAATCCACGATGTAAAATAATCAATCTTTAGAAAACAATCCAAATTCAAACTGCTGTAGTGAAGAACGTTTACCAATGCTTTGTATAGTCTGTCCAGACTTCTAATAATGTTTATCTGGACACTACTATAAAAATACCAAGATGGAACGCTTAATTTAAGTGCAATCTTTTATCTTTTTTACTAAATTATCGTTTCTTATTCTGTCAGGCAAGAAGAGTTTTGCTGAATGACTAGAATTTAAAATATTTGAATATCTAGATAAAATACCTCTGTGTTAGCAGGATATTAGAGAGGAGACGTGTAGAAGAGAGAGTTTGTTTATAGGTATGTCAGTCAACATTGCTGAATCACTGCACATTTTGTTGATGTGTAAATCCTTACATTAAAGTTAAAAAGCTGCAGCTGCACATTTTACAAGGTAATCAAAAAACATTGGGGAGGAAATGATAAAACAGTTCTACAATGAACTGGGATGAGCCCCGGATCCAGCCAACAGCCCTGGTCCCAACGCAACTGTTACCTGACGAAATTCTGTCCCAATCCAACTGTAGCTCTTCAAAATCCTGTCTGAACCCAACTACAACCCAAAACGTTCTGTCCCGACCTGACAGTAGCCCGACAACATTGTGTCTGAACTCGACAGCAGCCCCGCAAAACTGTCCCAATGCAACTATAGCCAAACAAACTTCAACTGTAACATGACAATATTCTGTCCGAACCCGACTACAACCTGAGAAAATTTGGCGTTAACTCAATCGTAGCCCAACAGCATCTGTCAATTTAAATTTCAGAATTTCAAAAACATCTCAGAGGTTTCTCAGAAGTTTTAAGTTTGGATAAACTTTACATAATGGACTTTATATAATCCATTAAAAGCGAGAGAAACCCAAAAATGAAATCTGAACTCGACAAAATCTGATGTGTCAAGTTTTATGAGGTGAAATACTTCAAACTCCAGTTAAAACCCACCTACTAAACCTGGCAACTCCTGATTGCAGAGCTGAATCACAGGTAATTAACCAAACTGTGCTGTGCTGCGGCCCATAAGAGCCAGACATACCTGGACATACCTGGAAAGATGATGATGTGAAATGTTGGCTTAACCCCTCATTCATTCCTGTGCTATAATGCTGAACTGTTTGGAAATCACTAAAATCACTAAAAACAGAAAGTACACAAAAACCAAACACACTCTTTTCTGTCACTCTATTTGATCTGTCAGCAGGCTGGGGGGGTGGGGGGTGGGTCAGTGGACCCCTTCTCTCAGTGTGCACAAACAATTTGGGAGCTTTCAGCAGCTTCAACCAACACAGGAGCCGTTTACACTGCAGGGCCCCTGAGGTCAAGGGCTCTGCCTGAATTAGGGTCCTTAGAGGAGACACAATAGAGTGTTCTCTGAGTAGAGCCGCCAACATGACGCAGTACTGTGTGTGTGTGTTTGTGTGTATGTGTGTGTTCCACAGCAGTAGCAGTTCGAGCACTGCATGAGTGTGCATGTGTGGATGTTAAGCCAGTTATGTCAGGTCCTGTAGTACATGGCTAAAAACAAAGCATACTGTCCAGGTGTTTTTGTTTGGGAGCCAAAAAAGGCCAAACGTCCCATTTTATTTTTTATTTATTTTTTGTAATGTATTTTATTTTATTTTAATTAATTAATTAATTTATACTCTCTTATACTTTAACTTCTGTCTATTTTTTGGCTATTTTTTTTAGACTAATCTATCTATCTATCTATCTATCTATCTATCTATTGTTGAATTCTAGATGAACCCAGTATTACGCAACAGAAAATAAAAGAGTACAGAGCGTCCTGCTGCCTTCTTCCACCTTAAATAAACAATCCACCCTGATAAAGCCCTTCTCTGATATCATCAATTTTTTCCGGTAACTTTTGCATGGCTTCATGCGGCCTTTGGCCCGTATACCTCTATGAGGCATGGAACATTTTTTTTCCCCAAAACAAACATGTGAATGCAAACTAAGCATTTTTCGATTACTGAGTTGTGTGTATACATAATTTAAACCTCTATTATTTTAATCATCCTTTTGCTAGCTGTAATATAGCACAATTCTGAACTTAATAACTCATCTTGTCAGGCTAAAGTACAGCTTCCACACAGTGGGGTTAATTTGAACATGCTGTTACAACTAGGCAACAATAAGACAGCCGATATCCCTTCATATAAGTGTAATACAAAATGTTTTATGAAAGTTTTCCTGCACGGATTCATCAAAAATTCACTACAGATGTCATGTATAGAAAAAATATGTAAAATTTATTGCGCTGATATTTACTACTTATTGATAAATAAAAGCCACTTTCTACTGATGATTATCATTTTTATGTATTTTCATGTATTTAGGTTGGAAATCTCTGGTTCAAACAACATAAACTGTACTGAATTAACTGTGTTTGCATCATTTTACCACATTTTTTAGTGACCATTACAAAAAGACCCTGAGTCTGTTACAATTAACCCCAGCCGTGGGGTAAGTACCTTTTCCACTCTGCTTACACTTGAATTGTTCATAAACAGTGGGTGCTGCAAAGTTTATGTTTACAATTTGTGGGTTGCTTGAAAAATAATAAAAAAAAAAAAGCTCTCCTCTAGAGGCGATACAGCCTCCAGTATGGCAATACATGTGTATGATGTGTTCTCACCAGTTGTGGTGTGTCCTGTAGCAGAGGCAGTAATGTAGCCTCCAGTATGGCGGTCTGGTCAGCGCTGAGTCCCTGCCACAGTGAGACCAGCAGGATGAGCAGGTGAGTGGCGCTCCGCAGCCTGGAGAAAGCCTGCACCAGACACGCCCTGTTCTCCTCTGCCGCGTCCGCTAATGCTATTACCTGAGAGAGAGAGAGAAAGAAAGAGACAGCACAAGAGAGAAAGGGGGGAAGAGAGATGCGTACATTTTGAATGGAGGGTCTCTCATGCTTTAGTTTTGCACATTTGCACTTTCTTCCTAACTTTGTGTTTATGGTGATAATAAAGAGCAATACATACACTAGCATTCAAAAGACTGGAATTATTTACCATGTTTACATTTTTTTACTGTTATTTTATATGCAATAATAACCTATACAGTGTGGATTTTAATATTACAAACTATTCAGCAAAAAGAATTGTAAGACGTGTTATTCAGGTGTTTATTTCAGGTATTCTGTGCTCAAAAGTGTATAAAATGATAAAAATATGCACTAATTATCTATTTACATTCAATTTTTGTCAGGTTATCTGATTTGATGTTTGATCTCCACTTGAATTCTGGATATTATATTTTATTATACTTTAATTCTCAAAGCTGTACAGCGTTCTCAGTCATTCTAGAACCTACAGCTCTGTTCATCATTCTGGACACATCTTCTTTTTTGTTCACAGCTTCCTAGTGTTTTTCTAATCATTTTAAACCTGTGAAGCATGTGATTAGCATTATATTTCACTTTATAGACTTGTCTACAACTAAGCTGGTATTATTTTGTTTAAAACATTGATTCCAAACTTTTGGGTGCAAGCATAAACAGGAATATAATAACAGCAATAAATACAACAGTAATTAGCCACACAATTTATCTGTATTCAGATACACTGTCTATTCACTGTGCAATGTACTTTTGTTATTTACTATGGCAGAAGTCGAATCTTACTTTAAAGCATTGTGATGAGTATTATTTCCATACTCTGCATAAACACATGCATTTCTCTGACGCACAGCACTGAACGCACACTGTTCTCACGGTGTAACGTCACCTGTAAGTTTAACCGTTTTCATCCACGTTGCGGATCGCCGGCACTCAGAAGAACAAAAACAAGGAAACTGCCTTTCAAAGTGAAGCCTGCAAACGGAGAGGAGTGTGTAGTGACAAAATGAGACACTGTGCCAAGCTAAACGGAGCTCGGGTCAAGGGGCTTTTGTGAGGGCCGGCGCAAGGCCTGATTGATGCCAGCTGAGGAGGAACAAAGGCACATTTAGCCAGGGTGTAGTGTGTGTGTGTGTGTGTGTGTGTGTGTGTGTGTGTGTGTGTGTGAGAAAACTGGATCCAGGCCCAAATGTTCAGGAGAGAAGATCACAAGACGGAGTGCAGTCCTGTTTCATAGTAGAAGAAGGCGCTCAACAAAAAACATACGCTTCAAGGAATGGTGAATAATCAAATGTTTTCCATTTACACCATACTGACCTGCTGCTATCTATAAAAAAGGACATGTCCATGTTTGTAGATAACAATTCAGCTGATACTTTAGGCATGCAGTTTGCACACTGCTAATAGCTATTATGCTAACCTCAGTGCAAAACAGGCTAATTCAGACACCAAATGTGTTTTGTCTGATTGACTACATTTGGGTCAAAGGGGACATTGATTTTTCATTAAATTCCATTGTAGTGAAAAACTTTTTTCTTTAAAAATTCTTCTTTCTTTCTAGTAAAATCTTTTTAACAGGACACTAATACAGAGCAGTGAGCTCCATGATACTTTTCCAGTGGGTGAAACCTAAACCCTGTACCCGTCTGGTAGGTAAGTAAGGCTGGAACAACATGCAATTTTGAAAAATTGATAAATCAGGATAAACTTAACACAAAATATTGTTGTATTCATTATATAAAACCATGGGTACTGTGAAGTTATATATTCTTTATATCTAGGCAGTTCACGTTTGTGCTAGGAAGGTGACACATGGATTCCCACCTGCGGTTTGTTGATTTTTTATAACTGAATGTGCTGTTAACCAGCGTTAAAATAAAGTTACAATAAAGAAGTGCATCAGACTTGAAGTGAAGGTTCCAGTGCATTACATCCGCAAAAACTGACTTGGTGTGAAAAGATTTTACAGTGACTAAACATTAAACTACAATTAAAAAAAGGAAAATGCTTTTTTTTTGATGGCATTTTCCTTTGTGACCACTGCATGTATATGTGATGTAAAACCAGGACTGGAATTAGGATAGGATAATGGATCGGAATGCTGAAGACTAATGCAGTCTATATGGAAACAACAAAACAATAAATTCTACTTACTGACTTCAGGGCCTTTGCTGATAATTTTCCATAAATTCATACAGTCATATGCAAACGTTTGGTCAAATGACATGTTTTGTTGATTTTCCTAGTTTAAATAAGAGAACACATCCTCTACAGAGAACGCACTACTGCACGTTTTAATACACAATTACTGTTTATTTGCTAAATTTAATATTTTGGAGACAAAAGAAACATTGCGCAAAAGTTATGGCACATTTAATATTGAATAAATAAATACATTTATTATTTATTATAATAAATATATATATATAATTATATATTTACTATAAAATGAAAAATACAATTTTTGAGCTTTTTCTCTGTCAAGGATGTGTGTTTATTTTTACTTCAACAAAACATACAATTAGACTGCGGTGTTAAAACTTTTGCATACAACCCTAAGTGGTCCCAGCTCCAGGGCAAAGGGCTTTTTATCATCAATAACACTGTCTTTAATATAGATTATAGACTGTAAGTCCTACAGTCTATTGGTTTCATTCAACATCACACTTTAAATATATTTAGTGGTCTCCCCCGAGGTGTTTTCAGGCATATTTGTTGAACATACTGTGTTCATGAGCCTATACTGCTCATGTGTAAGTCCATTTTGTTAAAAATTGTTATCTGAGAAGGTTAAATAAGTTACGGCGCAAAATAAAACTTTGTTGCTATGTTACAGCAAGATTTCACAAGCAAAGTGGAAGATACCCTGAGCCTGGTGGGGCAATTTTGTGGCCTCGGATGGAATTTGCGTGACTGGGAGAGTGCTGTGGGTGTGTGACGAGAGCATCCCTGCACTGTGGGGGTCCAGACACACAAACACCCAGACACACACGCTCTGGCCATAGCCGCTACTTACCTCGGGCACATTCTGCAAAAATTACACGGCCTAAAAATATGCGCCTATTTCCAATGTAACATTTACAACCCAAAACAAACCGTGACCAGCGGCAAGGACGGCCCGAGAAAAATCCATTATCCCTGAGGGACGAAGCCACAAGCTGAGGAGCAGAAATATCTCCGCAGTGGGGATAAACAGCCTTTATTTAGTTATTTTTCCCTCCTGTCGGTGGTATTTTTGGCACGGGGGTTGGTGAGGGATGCCTTTGGTTTGTGGTCTTGCTTGCACCTTGAGAAGTGATGCAGCTCATCCAAATGCAGAGCTTCACAGTGGAGGAACGTTGGCAGAACGTTGCGACTATCTGGTCGTAACAATTGGGCACAGTGTCAGAGGCTCTAGGACGAGATAAGGCAGTGGAAAAGTACAGGGCAGAGGTGTGTGAGTGATTGCGGTGGGATGAAGCGGACTTTCCCTGAAACACACTACGGGAGGATTACGGGCAGGTTCGTCAGAGCACTCGCCCGCAGAACATGAATTATTGAAGACTAGCGAAATCCGCACTAAAGAGCCTTTATGTGAACTCATGTTGGTGTCGATGCAAACACAACAACTCAGCTATTGTGGTGCTCTAACAACGTACAAAAGGGGCATATAAGGGGGCTTAATTCTGCCTACAGTATTGTGCAAAATTGAGAAAATTACTTGTAAAGCTATTTATCTAAGTAGTAAACATTTATCTGTATAAAGAAAACAAATCAGAAAAAATGCAAACAAAATCAACGACACCATTTCCAAAGCTCCCCTCGAGGACGTCTAGCATTTAGTTACCATCCAATCAGGGCTGCAAAATACAAATATTTTGATATTCAATTGTTCATGTGACGTAATCACCCAATAATCAGTTAATTGACTTAAATGTGGCCTGTTAATGTGAAGAGCTGTAACAATAAAATGTTTGGAACCTGCTGATACTGTTCCTCAATAGCTAATTTAAAAACACACAAACAAACATGTGGCATTCTGTCTATAATTTCCCATAATTTTCCATAATCTTGAGTTACAGTAAATAATAAGCAATAGCTCAAAGTAAATGGTCCTAAATTTGTAGATTATTGTCATAGCACTTCAGGCTGCAGCATTATTAAAGCCGTTTAACACTACAGCGCGCTAGTTTACTAGATCAGCTATGTGGGATTACGCTACCTGATGGTTGATACATTGTTTTATGATACTTTCAATATAAGCTTTTGCCCTAAAACATATTTTTAAATTCCTTCATTGGAGAGAAGTACAGTCATATGTAAATATGTGACATCCTCTACAAGGAATTTTAATTTATTTGGTGAGTTTAGCCTACAAAAATAAGAAATAGGAAAAAAAGAAAAAAAGACGTAAAATATAAAATGTGCCCTAACTTTTGGATGTATTTTATATTTTATTTTTTCCCTAAATGTTTGTGCATTAAAATCCCACATTAAAATACCAAGTGATAACCTACTGATATTCTTGTTTGTATTTAAATAATGCATGTTTTCAAATATGTGTTTTGTGAAATCTTTAAGACTTAAGAATATTAATTTTTGATTTACATCTTTTGTTTTTTTTATTTTTGGGGTTTTTTCTGCTTTTGCAATTTACTAAATGTGTTGATAAACTCTTACAGATACTTGAGTATCAAAATTAGTCAGAATGCACATCCCAAAAGATAAATACATGCAGGTTCTGTAGATGAGCAATACAAGATGAGAAATGAGTTTATTTAAAGCAGGTTTACACTGTGTGATATACTGCTGCAAAGAAAAATCACAAATTGTGAATAAATTCTTTGACTTTTGGTTAATATTAGCGGTCTTTGAATGTTTAATGCGACGGGCTCCCCCCAGTGAATGATTTACTGCATCTGCAACCAAAGAGAGTCTACAATAAAATTCTGGCAGCCTTCGAAATGTTGGTCTAAAACTTCAGCAGCATGATCTCGACTATGACACAC